TCCCTTTGTCTTAAAATCGTCCTCCTGAATTTTCATCCGCTCATGAACTCGGAGAAATTAACGTACAGGATATTCAAGGAGAGACCTCGGCTCGTATAATAGTTCCGTTAAAATAATCTCTCGTCACAAGATCAAAGAAGAACGGAGGTTTGCGAAGTCTCTACCGCCTATAATATCATGGCGTCTCCGAACCGCGGGATACGGGCGTGACGTCAGTCGCGTTGAAAGAGGGATGATAGCGAAAACCACGACACAGGCGGAAAACCGGGACCGATCATCCTTTTCGAGGTGCACACCGGCATGCCGGTCTCGTGCGCGCGTATCGTTAATTAAAATCTGTCGTCGGCGACGCGCGGCCGTTGCGAGAATGCGCTGACACGACAGCTAGGGAGGAACGGGGTGAAAAATCGCGCTAACGAGACGGCTTTCGTTATTGGCTCGGCGCTGCGATACAAAGAACTGTATCGTTATCGAAAGAGAAAGAGCGAAGAGGGAGAGAGAGAGAGAGAGAGAGAGAGAGAGAGAGAAAAAGAGAGAGAGGAAAAGAGGGACCGCGCCTGTCTTTCGCACGATGCACCGTTTTTAATAAAGCCGTATCGAGACGTGTCATTTAGCCGTAAGCGTTCTCCCTGTAACGAATACCTCTCCCCAGATCGTAACGTTACGGGGGTGAATTGTGCGACGTACGTTTGAGATAAATCGCTCGGATAGTCCATCCACTTCCCAGGAGAACTAATCCTATCGAGCATAACGATCGTTCACAGTTCACATTTGACATAAAAATGGAAAATATAGTACATTTTTCTCTTCCTTGACAAGAGGAATCTCCATATCGCGCAGTTTTTGCATTCCAATGCGATTGAATAATTAAGGCTGGGTTGTTTTACCTTTCGATAAACTTCAGCTCATTCTCTTGGGGTGGATTCAGACTTAGACAGAAAAGCAGCAGCCAATCAAAACTTGCGATGATAGTAAACAGTATAGAAGTCGAAACTAGCGACTACCAGCGCGAGTTCTGATTGGTTGCTGCTTTTGTGTTTTCTGCTTTTCTAGGTCTGAACTCACCCTTACTCTCTTATTCTCTTATGTTCTTATTTTTTTATTTTTTTGTTTATTCAGTAAATAAATTATCACGTAGCTTATCTGAAGATTGAACAACCAGTTCTAAATGGAAAGATCGTTTATGTTGCCTCGATAGTTTATCGAAGCATAATAGACTGTTTACAATGAGAGTAATATTGTGTAATACACTGTTAAATTCTTAACGTTAAGTTATACTCAATTTGAGTTATTTCAATCTTATTATCTATAGGTCGTCAATGCTGTTATCCAATATATATTAATTTGACTAAAACAATGGAGTTAAACTTAAAGAAAAAATCAAGAAAACTTAAGAAAAAAATGTTAAATTGACTTAAATTTAGGCTTTCATAGTCCGTTTTTATTTCAAGATTCTCTTAAATAATGTCTTAAGATACTAATACAGCTCTAATTTATTATTTACTAAGTACATACACTAATACGAACGTTTACTTTGAAACTGACCACAGAAATAGATTAATTTATTATTTTTGACACAGATGGAAGTTTAAAAAAATTAAAAAGTTATTTAACTCAATGGATTGGATTTACGATTGTTCCTTTGAGTTCTAACAGTACAAACAGTATAAAACAGTACAAACAGTCTATAAGAAATTGATAATCGATTATTCTCTCCACATTCGACTGTAGTCGAATTATTTGTTACGATTTACACTGTATTAATCCCAATGTAAATCGCCCTTTAAAAATGTCATAAAGTCCCTTTCGTTTCAATTACTGCCGACTCGAGAGAGCAACGGAGTGTTAATGAAAAATTATTACGATTCTCGAGAGCAAACGTGTACTTTGAACAATATGTGCCGATACATCCCGTGTATGTACTCGTACCTACTCATTAATTATACTTATCGTATCGATTTACCGCGATTCACAAGCGATCATAAATAATGCGTGCGCGCGCGCGCATGCATTTCACCCTTAAGAGATGAGGCCATAAGGCGGATTAAGATCCATCACGGCAACGCGACGCAACGCGCGTATTTGATTATTGACGGCCCGGATTTATTCGGACCATACCGATTGGTACTCGACGCGAAACGCACACGGCACCCGCTCGCGATTTGCGGCAGCTGCGAATGTCAGGTGTACGTCGCGGAGATATGAGATAAAGGGAGAGAGAGAGAAGTCACGTGCATCTGCCGCGTTTATTTCCCGTAATTTATATGACTCGTTTATATACCTCCACTAACGCTGGACCACCCTGATCCACGTAGCATTCTTAGTTTCGATTTTCATTGTAATAACCGCGATGTGATTTTATCGTAGTGAACATCGTTGAAACATGATTGCATGTGAAGTAGCATGATAGCTGAATTCCTTTAGCATATCAAGATAATTTTCACATAAAAGAGAAATTATGGAGGGAGAGAAAGAGAAATGAATGGATGAGAATCGAGATAGAATTAATATTAAGAAAAATATTTGCAAGCAAATATACATGTGACGAGAAAATTTTATTGAGAACTATGATAACGAAGTATTTCTGCAAAATATGTGTTATTAATTGTAAGAAATAAAATTTGTTAGGAATAAAATTTTATTTCGCCGTATTTAAATAAAGATTTAATTCAATAAAATAAATATTATAATCCACAAAGAAATTTTTTAATATTTTTTCCACAATGTAGCGTGAAAGAAAACGATTTTGTAAAAAATTTAGCTAGATCTGAAAATAAGTTTGTTTATTGTAAAGCATCAAATAAATATGTAAAACTCAAGCTAGTTGCTAGAATGTTAAAATTTTTTGCAGTATTGTTCATTATGCTTGAGTATTCTATGTATAATTATTTTGATAGTCGAACAAAATTATTTTTAGATCCAAATTAATGTTTAAATACAGCAAAAGCATTCTTTCCATGAAGATCTACTATTGTGAATCAAATATCTCGACGAAGCCACGCGTTATTTCCGGTGGAAAGGATGATTTTACTGAAGTAAAAATTTAACTAAATACAAATCTGAAAATAATTTTGTTGGACCTAGAACATTTAAACTGGTTGTTATAATGTCAAAACTTTTCACAGCATTGTTCACCGTGCTTAAGATTACTAACGTAATTATTTTAATTATCCAACAAAATTATTTTCAGACGTAGCTAAATATTAAAATATTTCAACCTAATTGTGTTTTCCTTGCACTCGTTAATTTACAGCAACGTTTACAGAGAGAATTATTACAAAAAGTGCAGTAAATATATATCTCTCTCTCGATTTGATGTATTTCTATAAAGGAAAAGAAAATCATTAGTTTCCCCGATTCGTGAAAGGATTGACTTATGTCTTCTCCCGCGGTGATACTGCTCTTGTCATGATTTCTTCCTCAAGAGTGAGATGCTAGAAGTGCCTCGATCAGACAAAAACCATCTTTGAGTTTTTAACGTGAAAAAGTCTTCCGCGTCTCGGCTATATATTAAATGCGAGAACGAATCGACAGGGACGTCTATTCCGGAGATTCGCGACGAGAGATAAGTCGTCTCTCTTCCTCCTCCTCTCGAGAGGACGTCTCGCCGCGTTGTCGAGCGACATCGTCGAGGACAATGGTGTCGCCAGGTGTCGGAAACGTCTTCGTCGTTCGCCGCGGGGTTGATATCGCGATAGAATCACACCCCGATTGCAATTGGAAACGACGGAACGGTATGTTCCACCTCGCTCCCCTTTTCGTGGTGATAAGAAAAGTTATCGCCACTTCTCTCTTTTTCTCCTCTTTCTTATTCTTCTTTCGTTCGCGCGACTTCAAATTACTTGATAGTCATGCGGATACCCTGCCACATTAATTGGAAAGTGGAATTCTTTAAGCGGAATGATAATATTTTTTTTATCTGACCGATTCAGCGATGAGATAAATCTTAAGCTTCTGTCTAAATCGATTTTGTCGTCTCATCTTCGCTACGTTTGGTCTCATTTTCGTTTCTGTACAATCGATTACGTACAAAATGTCTTTTCTCTCATCTATGATTTTTAAAAGTCAATTTGAAACTAAATTTTTTGCTTCATTCGGTTAAACTGTTGAATTGCATATTAAAGGCCTCTCTACACAAAATTCGATGGCCATAGAAAATTAAACGGAACAAAGCGCATTGATTTCGAAAAAAACTGATGGCTATAGCGTGAATTAATTAAAGTTGTCAAAGAGCGTGCGAGATTATCTCTGATTTCTGTTCGTGGATTGAATTCGCTGTTTAAAGACCAATTCAATTGAAAATCATGCGTCATGACATTAATATTACACGAATTGTGCAAAAAGGGACCGATTGGATAATCTAGGAAGGAAGCTTTCAAACATTGCTTAATAAATTCCACTGTGTTATTAGATCCCACGCAAACAATTCAATTAAATCTAGATTTCATTCCCGCAGCTGTAAACAGCAGCAGGACAGATTAATATCAATGATCTTTGATTTCCGTGGTTATTTTATCACGCTTTTGTTAGCATTAATAATTTAATAGAAATTTCATAAGTCCATCTCCGCAGTCGAACGTTTGATATTTAAATATATTTATGAATCATTAAAATCAATTCTTTTTCTTTTATAATAGATTAATAAAAGAATTTGTTTTTGAGAAATTTTAAACTTAAATGAAAGTAATTATTTTTGTGTTTCTTATATTTATATAATATAATAGTAGAAATATAATATAACATAATATAAGAAATTATGTAGAAAATATAATTTTATATTATATTATTATATTATATTATATAAATATAACATAGAAATGTGTATCCAATCGCATCTGTGCGAAAGTTACACACATGTGAATCTTTTACATATTTTATTACGCTTCTGTCTTGTGGTGAATTGTTTTTCAAATTGAATTTAAACAAAACGAATGGCTGAAGGGTTAATTAAATTTTTTTCCTGTGACTTTTTCCGGTTAATGGAAAACGTTTCTTTTCAGGAACGTGGAGGGTTATGCGAAAGAACACGAGGAGGCGTCCAGGAACATTCAGCAGTACCTATCGAATCCTATAAATGCTTATCTGCTGGTCAAACGGCTGACCACCGATTGGAAAAAGGTGGAGGAACTGATAACCGAGGACGTCGGCAAGTCCTTCGTCGCGAACATCACGAATTCCAGGAGTGATCTAAAATTCCCAACCGACGAGGACCTGAATGGGGCCGCAGTCGCTTTGATGAGGCTGCAGGACACGTACAAGCTTGAAACCGCACAAGTTGCGAGGGGTGTCTTGAATGGAGTGCAATACAGCACCGGATTGACTGGTACGAATGACATCTCTTCTTGTGTAAACTGTATGACTCAATTTATGTTATAGATATCTCGGAATCCTTACACGTCAAACGATCCTTTCAATCGAAAGTAAATATCAATCTGTATCTGAAGAAATTATTTAACACAGCACGGAAACGTGCCCGATTCCTCTGTCTCGGGGAATTCAATTAAAATTTCTATAGGAACGTTCACGAAACTGTTGCGAAAGGCCGTATTTTCCCTAACGTGATGGCAAATTTAACGAGAAGAGCGAGTTTATTGTAGCACAAAGAATCACTAGTATAAGAATAAATTGTATTATATGCCGCTCATTTTTGATGGTATGAAAAAAAGCGTATAATAGAAGCGAGAGTCGGAGAATTTTACGGTGTAAAGAAATATGAAAAGCGCGCTTTGCGGTTCGCAAAAAGAAAATTAATTAACGAACTCACTTTTCTCGCTATCAGTATATATGCCACACCTGCGCTTCCGTGTGCTCTTTGCTGCGAATAGAAAGAAATTCAATGGAACACAATCCAGATTGCCTCGTGGAAAAAGAAGATTCAATGGAACGCCGACTGTATATATATATATATGCATTCTCGCGTCTATAATATAAATAATTCTCTTTATTTTTCATCTTCGTTATATACGTGGGATAATTTCACGTTTCAGCAAGCGATTGCTTCGAATTGGGCCGACAATCTTATCACAATCGCGATTACTATCACACGGTTTTGTGGATGCAGGAGGCTATGGACCGCTTACAAGAAGAACAGAATGCTACCACCACCTCCAAGCCTGACATCCTGGAATACTTGGCGTTTTCGACGTACATGCAAGGTTCTAACAGTGAATTATATTATGCATGTCGTATACATCGCGAAAGGCACGAGAAAATTTCTAAAAGCCTATTCCTTTGGCAGTACATTTCAAATACATAATATGTCCATCTTTATTGCCAACCAGGTAACGTCGCCCGTGCTTTGAGTATGACGAACGAGCTGCTCGAATTGGTGCCGACACACGAGAGAGCGTTGGGAAACCGCGCGTATTATCAAAAGGAGATCCAAAGCAAAGCGAGTCAGTCAAAAAAGAAGCGAGGCGAGGATGGGAAGGATGATACTGCGATACCTGAGCAGGTAAACCATGATTAGAATCAGCCATTTAGGCTGATTAAGAGACTGTCGGAAATGTAATCTAAATGAAAGTAACAGGAGAGAGAGAGAGGATACATTTTAAATAATTGTTGGATTTATTATAGCAAATTAATTTGTCATTTATCTATTTATCTTGCGATTAGCGCGAAAGATACCATTAAACAACGAAGAACTTTTCGTCGCCCATTATTTTCGACGATGTAAAATCTCGGTGTGCAATCTCAGTTTTCCGCAAGCGTCCATAAAGTTCGTTATCGCACTTACAGAACTTCACTGTCGCCGAGGAAAGGGTGAAAACGTGGGAGGAAATGACAGAGAGGGAGAGGTACGAGATGCTTTGTCGCGGCGAAGTATCTATTCCGCCGGAGGTGGAGAAGAATCTTAAGTGCCGTTACGTCGACCGTGGAATTCCCTTTCTGAAGATCGCGCCGTTCAAGGAGGAGGAGGCGTATTTGGATCCGAGGATAGTTGTTTATCACAACGTGATCTACGACGAGGAAATCGAGACGATCAAGCGAATGGCTCAGCCTAGGGTAAATAATTACGTTTACCAGAAATTATCACCCGCTGAGAACGTCTTCTCTGAGACGCCGTGTACACCGCCTGTTTCCGCGCGCCGCGAAATTACAGGAATTCCTGAAGATAATGGCAATTACGTGTTGCAGTTTAAGCGCGCCACGGTGCAGAATTACAAGACTGGTGCCTTAGAGATAGCGAATTACAGAATCAGTAAGAGCGCGTGGCTCCAGGAACACGAGCATAAGCACGTAGCGGCGGTGAGTAAACGCGTGGAGCACATGACAAGTATGTCTGTGGAGACGGCAGAGGAACTTCAGGTTGTTAATTATGGCATCGGTGGTCACTACGAGCCACATTTCGACTTTGCGAGGGTAAATTTACTATAAGAACCAATCAAAGAGTGCCCTTCTGCAGCTATTTGCCATCTGTTAATTAACTCGATCCACTTTACGTTTACAGAAAGAAGAGACGAATGCATTCAAGAGCCTCGGAACTGGTAACAGAATTGCAACGGTTCTGTATTACGTAAGTTTAAATTCTGATTTGTCGCACGCTGACAGCTCGGGATTATGTAACATTGTCTCATTATCTACAGATGAGTGATGTTGAGCAAGGAGGCGGTACCGTATTTACCGCTATAAACATATCACTTTGGCCGAGAAAGGGTAGTGCGGCATTTTGGCATAATCTAAAGCCTAATGGTGAGGGGGATTTTAAAACTAGACACGCGGCTTGTCCAGTACTTACAGGATCGAAGTGGGGTACGTTGTTAAAGTTAATATTTTATTTCACAAATATTATATTACACTATTTTTTTTTTCAGTGGCAAATAAATGGCTGCACGAAAGAGGCCAGGAGTTTCACAGACCATGCACATTGGAGAATCAGGCGACAGACGAAGTGGACGTTAGGCACTGAAGAGAACATTCCTCGACAGTGAGACAAGAATAGATAAGGCACGATAAAAATAAGATAGAAGAAGTACTAAGAAATACTTCGAAATTCCTTTAAATAATGAGACATTTTATTCTCGAAACGGTAACGCCGAGAGGAGTAGGTAAGGAAACGCGCGGTAGGAATTGTCATTTAAGAACGAGTGAGAACGTTTCGGTCCGTGTGCAAAAAGCGACAGTGCAATTTAACATACGTAGGCAAACTGCGAGAACGTTACTCGCATTTGTATGAAAGAACGTTACCAGCGCATACAATTCGCGTAACTTAACATTCATGCCGCAGACTTGTATGATGATCTTTCTTGTTCATACACTGTGGAACATAATCCCTCGCATTACGACAGCGATTAATGTTTCTTCGAGATACTCGGCTGCAGGCGAAAATCAGTAAGAAGCAACAGAGACTACTCGAGTGAGATTAATCGGCCGCAATTGTTTCCCGTGCGCTTCTTCCCTTTGAAACGGAATTCCCGTGAAGCAGAGATTGTTGCCACGCGAATCGCGGCAATTGCGATGTAACAAAGTTACTTTTTACTGGAATGGATCTGCATACGTTCTGTTTGTAGTCCGATCCAGCGTTGTCTGCAGTTCGTCATCTTGCAGACAACGCTTACGGCAAATGTAACGTAGAACAGTTGTTTGGAGTTAAAGTTTGGAGTACGTAAGCCGAAATGAACGGCGAGTATAAAGCGGAAAAATAAAAGAACAGGCTTCAGTAACTCTTTCACTCGAATGAAATAAATGAAAGGAGAGAAAAGAAAAAAAAGAAATAAAAACCGTATGGTTGCACCGATTCATTGCATGTGGAGTTTTCGCCGTTTAAATGGGCTTTCCATGGCGAAAACGAGATTCGCTCCGCCATTCGCTCTCAAACTCGTAACGTTAATTATTTCTACGAGAAAATACGCTAATAAAGATATTACACTATGCATCATAGCCAAAGCAATAATAAATTGCGCACGTTCTGGCCAGTCTCCCCTTATCGTAATATATAGTGCGATGTAGAATACCGAAGTAATCATTAGCCCGTAGATTAATTGTAATTCGAGCGTTGATCGTTAACGCGACGAAGTCTATCTCAACTCTGACATTATTGTGCAATAACGAGGTATTTCCGCCAAGATGTTCCAAGACCGAGAATCTTCTTTCGCGACGGATCGTATTCGTCGACTGTAAATAGCGGATGGCACGTTAATCTTGTATCATCCGATCCTTCTGATCAGGCTGTATACGAATTGTTTGTATAAAGATGGATGACGCTGTTTGACGATGTTCGACGACGACGGTGCGCTTAACGGCGATGTAACATATACGAGAATAAATCTTGCATGACGCGCACGTTGTATTTCAAATCATCCTATTATAGCAGTGCTTAAATTACAGTTGATTTTATTTTAAATGATAGAAAAAGATTCGTATTATTATAGGAGATATAGCGTGAAAAAAAAATGAAATAAAAGGACCAAGTCCGAGAAATAATCCTGGAAAATTGCGTAATTACTGGATTTAATTTTCTTCTTTTTTAAGTACTTTATATATATATATATATATATATATATATATATGCATGTGTGTGTGTGTATAATGCAGTACAAATTATTTATTTCTTATGTTCTGCGTTATTAACAACATTTACATAAGTTTTATTCGTGTTGAAAATTTGAGAACCTTTGCCCTATGAAATTTGTAGATGGTCGTGAATGGTTCTCCGAATCGATTATTAATATTTAGTATCAACTAGAATATTGCTCCTAATCGAAATTCCAATGATGAACGTGCGCGAAGACTGGTGTATCGATTGATCGCACAACTACTGCGAATATATTATTTTAAAATTATGCTGTATCTCGATAAAAAAATTTATTTGGTTCGCTGAAAGTTCCACGATAGTAGCCCTATTAACTGTTAGGATCACATTACTGTACTCTAGAATCATATATGACGCTTCAAAATTCATGTTAAAACAGCTTATATATGTCAAATTTTTAAATTTTTTTGAAATGTTCTTTTTATGTTGATTGATTTATTCTAAATATATCAGTCTGATTATTTTTATCGATATTACAATTATTTATATACAATAAAAATTATGATATTAATCTTTGCACATATTATGAATTACAATTCTTTGTTAGCTATTTTGTATAATTAGAATTTGAATTCCTTTATATTAGATACATTTATTTAATTATCACTGTAAAAACTCGATTTTAAGGACCAACTCGTTTTTGTCACAATTGACAGAAATGTTGTACGTTAAATAAAGAATAATTTAAATTGACATTAAACTTTAGTTAGGAAATAAGTCTCGACCTAAAGGACACACACAGTTATTTGCTACTTTTAGAAAAAATTGCAAAAAAAATTTTCTACCAATAATCTTGTATATATCACTTTGCGAAATGTTATGTCACCTACGTCATTTAATATGGAACAATTATATAAAGAATAAGCAGAAAATGAATTATAAGATTAATGGCGACGAAAAATTAATGCAAAAACAAACACAGTTCCGATCGCCTTGTTTAGTGCGAACGACTGATATCTATATCTAATTGTGATCACCATCGTTTTGTTAAGAAACGAAGAAAGTAAATAAAATGAAATGCATCACAGAAATATTGTTGAAATCCTGATGAAGCATGTCGGATCATCCCTGTCTATTTCTCAATCTCCTTTTCTTTAAATTAATATTTTTTTCTTTAATATTGTTTTTAAATGTAACATATATCCTTAAATAATTTACATATTGATTCTTAATTGTCAATATATAATTTTCATGACTATAAAGTGCAGATATATCTCGGGGGAGTAAATAAAATGTCAATATTACCGACCGTTTTTACTATCGAATGTTAATTTTTTTCATGTCAGAATATTACATGCGATTCATTAAATGGTATCCTGTTACATTTTTTTGTATTACTTCTCTTTCATTTTTTTTCAACGTTTCAATTTTATATCTAATATTTCATTTTGGGTACAGAAAGTGCAACAAAGTGCAACTAAGACTCGTGATCATCTGATCTGATTTCGAGGCGCGGACGATTGAGGCTCGGGTTCCTTTTCATATATTGGATCATATAATTGGAACTGATTGAAACAATCGTAATTGAATCACCGCACAAATGTAAGATTAATATAACTCATATACAATACTGCGCTATGCCGCATATAGAAATAATTAAAATATTCGGAAGTTAGGCAGAACCGTCCAACGCCGGTTCTAGGTTAGTGTACTTGAGTGTTTATTTTTCGTAGAAAAGAATCCATTAAAAGAATCCATTCGAATCCATATGACGCCCGCTATGATGTTTGATCGCGTTAGTCGCTCCATTCTCTACATGTGCAAGCGAAATAAAAGGATCAGTAGCCACCAGCGATATACAGTTAGACACAGTTCGACCCAAGTCATTGGCAAGACCTTAGAACGCTTGATTGACAGGAGCATACTGCGCGTAAACGGTAACGAAGCCTCTTTCTTCCTCCAGGGATTGATTACGAATGATATGAAGCACCTCGACGAAGGGGCGCCTAGCATCTATACTTTGTTTCTGAATATCCGAGGCAGAGTGATGTGTGATGCTATTGTATACAAGAGTGAGGAAAGCAACTTATATTACATAGAATGTGATTCGCAGATTGTTGATTCCTTACAGAGGCATCTGAAGATGTATCGCGTGAGACGAAAAATAGATATAGAACATGTAGGAGACAAAATCAATGTCTGGTCGATGTTCAATTCCACCAAATATCTCGATAATGGAGCTGCGGTGAATGAGACAGAAAAGTTCAAGCTGGAAGGAATGATATTTCCATGTGGCACGTTTAACAGTAAAACCAGCAAGTTTGTCGACAATGTTATGATATACGAAGATCCTAGATTACCTGATCTTGGTCTTAGAATTCTCGTCGAGTCACAGATTAGTAGAAACGAGATAATTAAACATCTAGACGCTGATATAGCTCCATCAGAGAGTCTTGGAGACTATAAGGCGTTTCGATATAAATTAGGAATAGGGGAAGGCATGCATGATTTACCACCTGGGAAAGCATTGCCCTTAGAGATCAATTGCGATTATTTACACGGCGTTAGTTTTCACAAGGGCTGCTATATTGGCCAGGAATTAACCGCGCGAACATATCACACGGGTGTAGTCAGGAAACGCCTAATGCCTCTGTTGTTTGATAACGTTATAGATAAACCGTTTGCGTATGATGAGAAAATTCTTAATGAATCTGGCAATGCGGTAGGAAAGTTCCGAGGATGCGTCGCTAAATACGGATTAGGCTTGATGCGTATAAATGAATCTCTTAGTGCCCGAGAACTTAATGTATCTGGTATGAATGTAAGAGTAGTAAAACCTGCATGGTGGCCTCAAGAATTACAAAAAGAAATGATTTTTGCTAAAGATACAAAGTAACATTAAGACGTTTTTAAATATCACAAACTTATATAGAAAATAAATGTATTGTAGAATATAAAATTGTAATATATTTATACATATAAAATAAATTTATGCTCACACTCGATAACACATTTGGCTTCTGTTCCTTGTTGCTTTATAGGAAGGAGGACACATCAATAGGCGAACCTGGTATCAATGAACAGACACAACAGGATGCTTCTACGAGTCAACAGATGGCGATAAACGTGGGTGGCACTTTCACTTGTTCTTTTTGTCTTTTAAAAGAGCGCTATGATTATAAAGGCACAAGGCCACCATTCGCTCGACAGTTCGTTTATTCGGAAGAGTGTTATATTATGAAAGATCCATTTAGTTTACCAAATAAAGGCGAAGTCTTGGTCTTGGGCGCTGATTGCAGTATATGCGAACACGCGGTATGTTTAGGATGCAGCATATTTTACACGAGACGGTTCTGTTCAAAGTGTGCATTCAGTAATATGCAGCATTTACCACCCCAGTTACATGGTAAAATCAGGAATTTAACAAAAAAAGCAGATTCTTAAAAACAATGTAAATTTCTTTTTTGTCAAACGTTATTTATTAAAAAGCAATGGCAGTTACATTATAACAGTATACGAGGAAATATAATATATTGGAGGTATTCTCGTTTACATTATGTGTGATCACAGTTTTAATGAGAACTGTAGTGTCCCTTGTAACATTGTCAATATCTATTTTTTTCTTCAATATTAAACGGATATGAACACAATGTTTTTGAAAATAAAAACTCGCGTGATAATTGTCTAACCAATCCATAACATATATTACAATATTAAATTTCTACAGATTATAGTATCATTACAGTGCCAATACTTCTTTCAAAATTAAATGAACGCTCGAAAAATATCTTCGATTGTTAAAAAAACGTCAAAAAAATTAATAGTATGTCTAAGAATTCATAAAATATGACAATATTAACTTAATTTTTTTTTGTTTTTTTAGATGTAGCTGCAAGCTTTTCTGCCATTTTCTTGTTTTTCTTATCAAGTTTGTTTTTCTTATTTTTATTTTTTAATTCGACCATTTGACCTTGAAATGCAGTAGACTTTTTTTTATCTTCCTCTTGCTTTTTTTGCTTCTTAATGTTTCTTTCAGGTTCAACCTATAAAAAGAAGATAAAAGAATTTACAACATCAATTCTATCTTTACTTTTAAGAAATGTCCTTTATTTGAACAAAATCTGCAATGTACTATATTATCAAAAGATTTGCAATAAACATATTTACGAATAGTTCGAATATTTACATTAGCAGGCTCTCCCGAACTCTTCTTAAACTTTTTCGATGATCGATTATCATTTTCAAGAATTCTCTTTCCATTTTCAAGAATTGGTTGATTCCTTTGTCTTGTTTCTTTTTCTAATTTTTTAACAAATGATTTCTCACAATAGGGATATGGCATCACTTTAATTCGCCATCCATCAATTTTTTCATTGCTATATGTAAGAGCAGTCTTTACAGAGTCCTCAGTTTTAAAGGAGACGTAACCAAATCCTCTACTTAATCCCGTTATTGAATCACGTACATTTCGGAAACGCATTATGAATCCACATCGATTAAACATGTCCCAGATACAGTTGTCAGGCATTGCTGAAATATTAAAAAAATATCATTCCATTATTATTTTCCATACTACATAATTACGACAAATGATCAACAATGATTTATTATACGTACTCTTTTTTAGATCTGTTATATATACAGCATGGGGAGGCTCTTGAACAATTTTATCAGCAGTTACTGCACTTAAAAAATTTCTTCCGAACATCAGTCCATGCATATACTTCACTGCAATCAGAGCGCTTCGTCTTTTAGAATATAGGACATTTACTGAGAATGTTTCTAGATGTGGATAATCCCGATTTATCCATTCCAAAGGTTCTATTTGTTCCATATCTTCTTCTTCATCAAGAAAGAATGCTGGATAAGGTTTTGCTTCAAATATCTGATATTTTCCATGTTCCCTACATACTTTTTCTATCACAGCTCTAGGCGTTGTTTTTGGGATATTATCAATGAGAACAATTCTTTTTGCTATATCATCTTTTTCTTGTTGTGTTATGTTAAATCTTCGTATAATACTGTTCTCATTTTCATTGGCTTCCTTTTTTACATCATCATTCTCACTGTCTTCTTCAACTTCACTACTAATATCATCTTCATCACTACTATCTTTATCTTCTCCATTAAAATCTTCATCATCATCGTCGTCTGCAATACTTTGCTCCAAAAGTGCTTTTGTACCTAATTCTGCATTCTCATCATCGCTAAAATCAGTAGTATCATTGGAATAGTCTGAATCAGAAGTAAGATCTAAGATTTCAGCGTAATTTTTAGTAATTCTATTATCTTTCTTTTTTTGCTTTTCCTTGTCTTTATTTTCATCTTCATCTGTATTATCCTCGTCATCATCATCATCACTCTCAGTTGTATTCTCAGTTGTATTGCTTTCGATTTCATCCTCCTTTTGATTTTTCTTATTTTTAGATTGTAAACCTTTAAACATTTTTACACCTTTATGCTCACTCATCTCTTCTTCATCACTGCCATCATCATCGTCCATCTCTTCTTCATCAGATTCATCATCACTATCCGTGTCTTCTTCTTCCTCATCCTTTTCACAATCTTCATCTTCATCATCTTCTCCTAAGCTCTTGTCAAAAATATCTGGGATATCTGAATCGCTTTCAAATGTTTCATCTGATTTATTTGAACTATCATCCTCACTTTCAATGGTGTTAGAATCAGATTTATCTAATTGCTTTTCCACTTTTTTAGAGTTGAAAGTCTTCTTATCAATTTTTTGTGCTTTGTTTGAATTCTTGCTTTGTTTGAAATTTTGTTTTTTGTTTGGAGAAGACTTTTGATCCCAATATTTCTTTGAAATCTTTTTATTTGGAACAGGCTTTTGATCTGAAGATTTATTTTCAGAGGAGATTTTTGAGGAAAGTTTCCGATACATTTCTATTGAATTGTTGATTAAAGCTACCTTACCTTTGGATGTATTTTTGAATTTGGAATCTTTGTTCTTTTTTACGGAACCACCTTTTATTTCATGCAATTGCTGTTTTCCTTTATTTGCATTATGTTTCAATGCTTTTACCTTACCCATTTTTTCTTTCTTTTTCTATAACAATTTTTCTTCCTAAGAAAAAGATATGATTATAGAGAAACTTGAACATAGATAAGATAAAAAGATAAAGAGCAAAAGATAAAAGAAATGAAGATAAAAAAGGTAGAGATTAAACCAAATATTGGTTGATCCAACCAAATTTGGTGAGTCAAAAATTTATGCCCAAATTATTAAAAATTTATTAAAAATTCAAACAGCTACAATTATTAAAAATTCAAGCAACTACAATTTCAATAAAAATAAACGAAATTTAAATAAAAACAGATTGTTGAAGCTTAAAATTTGTACTTTCGAAAGGTTACTGGTTTTTGAGTTTATATGAGTCTGATAAATATTATGTATAGGGTACGTTCCACTATATTCGCAACACTCAGGAGCATCATTTCATTTTTGTTTAATATTTGAAAACAATAAGAATGAATGATGCTCGCAAACATTACGAATGTTAAGTGGAACGCACCCATAAAAAAATTACAAACTGGACAAAATAGCGATTTTTTTTTACTTTGTGGACTTGACAACCAAAAAAATTTGTCAACATTTTTTACTTTCTAATGTGAAAACTCACTTTTTTTCTACAAAATCGTTTTTTTTTTCTACAAAATATAAATCCTAAATTTTATTACCGAGTTATCGCGGATTTTAATTTTAATTGTTCATAAAATGAACCTTATCTACAATGTGCTTTTTATTTCCTGTTTGTTGCTTTTGGTTATTTCTTACATCTTGTCTTTTGCCTCTTATCTCGTTTTTCGTTTTCTGACGCCAGAGATAAAAATTAACGAACTTTGGAAGAAATATGTGGCAAAAAATAATTATCAATAAAACTATTACATGGAGGAAAAGAAGCAAGAGGTAAAAAAGCAAGAAATAGGAAACAAAGAACAGATCGTAGATCAGGCTTAATTCCATCAAAAACGAAACAAATCAAGTCGATTCAAATCGAATTAAATTTATCAAATAGTAGAAATTCACTTCGAATTAAATTTATCAAATAGTAGAATTGCCGCCAGAAAATATTGCGTCACAAATTTACGTACCAAATTCGTTTGAAATTGGCCACTTTTGCGGATACTCATATACATGGAAAAAAATACTCAGATATATAAATATTAAAGATATCTTGGATTCTTCCCGTAATCAATACTGACTGTTTCGTGATTCTCAGTAAATTATTAAATTTCATGATTATCAATTTAGTACGTTATCAAGTTTTTCAAATCAAAATATTGAATAAATATTTCAATATATCATCGATAATAAATAACAAATGTGATCTTACATAAAAAATAATACAAATAACAATGGATAACAAATGTAACCTTACATAAAAAATAATACAAATAATCGAAAAGATTCAAAAATCACATTGGCTTGTAACGAACTTTCAACGGTTACGAATCCACGTGGAATATGAATATGAGATAAAAAAGTTAAAGATATCGAAACGAATATTTAATTAAACAAATAAAAAATTGCACCGTAAAATATAAATATTTTCTACAAATCTCTACAAATGCTTTACCTTCGCTAATCAGAAAACTTCGAAAGCACCTGAATTGCAATTTGAATCGCTATTTGTGTACGTTGGCTTCCTTTGGCTTCCTTGAAAGAAATGGAAAGAATGCGACGCCCAACCTAAACGAACCAAGAATTGAAAAGAAAGTTGGTGATGAGAGCGCCAACTAGTGATGCTGTTTTCTAACAATTGAATCGATTCTCAAGAATTCTTGAGAATCGATTCAATTGTTAGAATAACGCTGATTGCTTCAATGATGCATTCTCTAGCTGTAGTCGAGTCTCGCTACAAATGCTTTGAAGCGTTTGATGGACCAATTAGAAGAAAGAATTTTACAAACTAACCAATTAAAAAAAAAAGCTTCAAAGCGTTTGCAAGCGTTGACTATATCCTCTATTCCGCAGTCGTTTTCCGCACCGTGTGATTTCACCCTTATTGATATATACGAAAAATTATTAAAAATTGCTCTTTAAAAGAGAAATGATTCTTTTTACAAGTAGATCAATTTGTGCCCTCAAAGACGATTTAAAATATCATTTAGAAATCGTTTTTAAAATTATTTTAAACTGATTTTTTTTGTAAAAACATCGTTTTTAGAGATGTCCCAGATCTCTTTATCTTACAGCCAATCAACAGGCTGTGTTGACGCTCTCATGTTAACATAATGGCTGTATTCGTATGTCATTTTATTCTAGGGATCGATTCTGTATCTTGAAATGAAATGAAAATTACAAAAGTGAGCAAAGGTTACTAGGTATTGACCAATTAAATTGTGAAAATTCTAGTGAATTTGTTCATTTTTGTAATTTTCACTTCATTTCAAGGGAATCGATTCTGTATCTTGAAATGAAGTGAAAATTATAAAAGTGAACGAATTTATTAGAATACTGATAATTTCATTGGTTAACGCCTAGTAAATTTGCTGCTTTTGTAATTTTCACCTTATTTGAAGGATACAGAATCGATCCCAAGATACACAATCAACCCTCTTGTTTATTAAATATTAAACAAGGACGATTGATTCTCGCAAGCGCAGCTAATAGATGTAGTAAGCCTTTACCCCGGATCTACAATAGAGTTTTAAGCCATAAGAAATAGACGAATCATAGTCGATTATTCTCCTGGAATTCGACTATAATTGGTCAATTTCTTAAGACTTAAGGCTACTATACTCATTGTGTTTGCGAGGTAAAGGCATCTTTACATCTTAAATTTTTTTATGCAATGGCTTCAGAAACAGAAAGGTCATAATAGCTACGTTCAACAGAACGTTTATTTTGCAACTGTTGAAAGTTTTCTTCGCGCTGATTGGATTATGCTTTTAGATCAAGAGAAATAGTCCTATCTCGGCAGAGAATCATAAAACGATTGCAAAACTGTTGTTCTGCTGAACACAGCCAATCTTCAGATGTGTCGTTGTCAGTAATCAGTTTATGGCAGTGAATTTTTAGTATAATTTCATGTGATTTCTTGTGATACCACAAAATACTTCTGTGATACAACAAAAATGCTAAATGAATATGACGCAAAATTGATGGAAGCTCATAATTTTTGCAAAAGCATATATTTAAATTTAACTTGTTATTAATTTATCATTTTATTATTATGCAATTTATCAATTTATATTATACAAGTTATCAAGATTAATTTATGCTTAGCGCGACCGCTTGACGAGAATTAATCTTCAGTTATGCAAATGTAGTTTAACATGTCGACTACAGCAAAAAAATGTACACCGAGGTGTTAAATGAATTTTCGCCATTACGAGAAGTGCAATAGAATCCAAGGGATCGCCCTGTCACCGTGATATCTCTTTAAGAATCCAATAAATTTTGTATCTATTCGAGCGACGGAATCATGGCTGTGTCAATAAATGAAATTTGCGAGAACACGAAGCTCGCGCGTGAGATGGCATTGATGGGAAATTATGACACGTCCGGTGTCTACTATCAAGGAGTCGTGCAGCAGATACATAGATTACTCGCAACTATAGCGGATGCGACTCGCAAGGCAAAGTGGCAAATAGTGCAGCATCAGATCGTCGAAGAGTTTGAGAAAGTGAAGGCCACATCCAGTACATTGCAACTTTTCAAAGTGGACACACATGGCGAGAGGCTGTTCGGTAGCACGATTAGGATAGAGTTCATCCAACTAATTGGGATAATGTCAAGCTGATTTAACAAGTCCACAAATTTCAGGAACATCCTGCTTATCATTCGAGGAAACGACACGAGATTCTGCTCTCTGGACTTACAACAATTCAGATTCCTCTTGGAATCAAACACAGCCCAGGGATCCTGATGTGTGGCCTCCCTTAACTCCAGCAGAACAAAAGTATCAATATTGATTTAAATTTATAATACTTTATTACCTATTAATTTGTGATAGGTTTAAACTTTCTTCTTTAAGAAAATATTTCTAGTTTTTTCTTTTCTCTTTTTAATACTAATATATATTATTGTTATATAATTATGGAAAGTATCTGATTACTATTACTATTACTTCTTTTTCAGAAATTCAAGACAGCAAAAAATTCAGCAACAGAAACAGCAAAATCAAACAAATACTAAAAAATCTCTTGCCACGGCTAAAAAGCCAGACAGTAAGGTTTCTGGTAAAAAGGATGATAAGAAAATTGTAAAGAAAGACGATGCAAGCAAGGTAACTTATTTTATTTTTATTAATTATATTTCATGCTTGTAATATCGCTAATATTATATTAATATAAGTTATGTAACATTATATAACTAATAATTTACAGGATAAGTCAAAAACGGAAAAAGATTATGTTGAATTAGAAGAACGTAAATTTGAACCATCTGCTAATGATAAAGATCTTGTAGAAATATTAGGTAATGATAATATATATATACTCTGTCATTTTCATTAATATTATTCACAAATGTATAACGATGAAAATATAAAAGCAAACGTGTATATTTAGAAAGAGACATTGTTCAAAAAAATCCAAATATCCATTGGGACGATATAGCTGATTTACACGAGGCAAAGCGATTGCTGGAGGAAGCAGTTGTACTTCCAATGTGGATGCCTGATTTCTTCAAGGTATATATTTTTTTTTAATTGCATGTTGCAATAAAATTTTGTCCATATTATATGTGATATTTTTAGGGGATTAGGCGACCTTGGAAAGGAGTATTAATGGTTGGACCACCTGGCACAGGCAAGACTATGCTCGCAAAGGCTGTTGCAACTGAGTGTGGCACAACATTTTTCAATGTCTCATCCTCTACATTGACATCGAAATATAGGGGTGAATCGGAGAAACTTGTTCGATTGTTATTCGAGATGGTAAAAAATTAAAACATAATCTATATAATTGAATAATAAATTTCTATAATTGAAAGAAGTGTAATGTCCATTTATGATACCAATATATTTTGTTATTTGATTGCAGGCCAGATTTTATGCGCCCAGTACAATTTTCATCGATGAAATTGATTCTCTGTGCTCCAGAAGAGGATCTGAATCTGAGCACGAAGCTTCACGTCGTGTAAAGTCTGAACTTCTTGTTCAAATGGATGGAATAAGTTCCAATAGGTAAAACACTGTATAAGCTTTTGCTTTTGTGATACAAATGGATACTAAAGATCCTTGTTTTATATAGCGAAGATCCAAGTAAAGTAGTAATGGTACTAGCAGCAACAAATTTCCCATGGGATATCGACGAGGCTCTAAGAAGACGTTTGGAAAAACGTATCTACATTCCATTACCGAATCGTAAGTCTATTAAACTTTGTAAGCCTTCAACAGGATGTAGTGTATCCTTAATAATAAAATATATCTTATTTTATTTATTGCAGATGAAGGCAGAGAAGCATTGTTAAGGATAAACCTTCGTGAAGTTAAAGTAGATTCGTCTGTAAACCTTACAGACATTGCAAGAAAACTGGAGGGTTATTCTGGTGCGGATATTACAAATGTTTGTAGGTGAGTGGAATTTATTAAAATATAGTTTACATCGACTTTCGAATCTATTTTACCCGCGTTTGTTACAGGGATGCTTCCATGATGTTAATGAGAAAGAAAATCGCGGGTTTAAGGCCCGATCAAATCAGACAATTGCCAAAGGAAGAATTAGATTTGCCTGTATCTGCTGCTGATTTCGACGAAGCCGTTGAGAGATGTAACAAAAGCGTTTCCCAAGAAGACTTAGAAAAATATGAAAAATGGATGAGCGAATTCGGTTCCTCTTGATATCATTCCCTCAAGAAGTAATAACATAGTTCATTAGCATGTTCGTTGATCCTGATTACAATTAATATTACAATATTATTCTGTTTAATATAAACGGGGAGCTTCTTAATCCTTTGCAACTCCTAATGACTAGTTCTCTATACTTGAGACTTGAGGAAAATCAAATCAAATTGGAAAATAAGACTGTACGATAGGAATAATGAGATAAAAGTTGAGTAATATTGCTAATCTCAACTGTAACATTAAAGACTTAACTGGCAGTAATTAAGTAGTCGTAAATAACTTTTATAGTCAATAATATATTCCATTAAGTCTAAATGTAAATCTGTTCATAATATTACAATTAAAACAGTATTTCTGGAATTATTGATATGTTGTATACACCTTCAACCTTTTTTTGGAGCACAACCTTCTTTCCGTAAATTTCTTGTTTCTTCGTCTATATTTTTTGAATCTTTAGGTGCTTTATAATTAGAAACGTGATCTACCCGTATTACTCTACCTAATATCTGTAACAAAAACAACAAACAAAACAACAATTTTCATTAGACATTTCAAATAGTTATAATTATATATTCTACAGATATTGCAAGCAATTAAATAATTTATAGGCAAATTTTATCATATACGTAAAAATAAAATATAATTATATTACAAAAAGATGATTATATTGCTATCCTACTAAAACATACCTTTATGCCATTGAAATTGTCGACTGCTAATATGGTGCTCCTCTGATCTTCATAACATAAGAAACCATAACCCTTTTGCTTTCCAGTATCTTTATCTCTGATTAAGTTTATATTAACTACTTCCCCATATCTGTAATGATATTCTATATTTAATATGAAACTCCAGTTGTGTTTGGAATTATAATTACGACTTGTTCACTGTTTAACTTACTGAGAGAAAATGGCAATAACATCACCTTCCGTTAAATTATATGGAAGGCCACCGACAAAAATCCAAGCACTATCTTTATACTGGTCGTGCCAAGATGATTTGTTCTTCCCTTGTAATTCTTGTTCGTTGAGCTTCTTTATATTTTTGACGTTACTGAAAGCATAAATCAGTCATACCTTTTATTTCATAAAACAAAAATTCGTGTTTGTCAAGCTAAAAATTAGAGATAATAAAACAAGAAATAAAATTGATAATGTTATTAAATAAGATTATTAATTCAATTATTAAGTTAACTAATCAAATATATTTTCTATTATTCACGTAATTTTCTTAACCAATAAATGAATTAAAAATACGTACGTCAAAGGATTCATTGCACCTAATAATGAAAAATCTTACGAAGTTATACATAAATATACCATAAACTTTAATCAAGAAGAATATTGTAAAATGCTTAAAAATATTCGAAAGACTAGAGAAAAACTGTGATAGAATTGGATTTGTTTATTTGTGTTTATAATTTTTTTCTTTTTAGGTTGATTTCAAGCCGCTATTTCAATTCCTCGACCGACCTAACCTGTCGAAGATACTAATTGGCTGTCGATGATCACAAATCTCTCAACTGATTCAACTGATTCAACCATAATATTGTATAAGAAGACGCATTCCTGAGAATGCGCAGTAGAAGAGTAAATTTGAGACCAAAATTTGATTGGTTATTTCCAGTATTGCTATCATCATTATGCGCAATTGTAGGTACGCCTTGTATGCTTACATCATGGATTCAATTATTCAATATGATTCCAATCAAGAAAAAATCAGGGAGTCCATTGTGGATTTTGAAAGGAGGTGAAAATTACAAAAATGAGCAAAGATACTAGGTATTGACCAATTAAATTATAAATACTCTAGTGAATTTGCTCACTTCTGTAATTTTCACCTCATTTGAAGATATACAATTGATCCCCAGCTCCCATGATGCCTACGTACTTGACACTTGTATTACGCATGCTCCAATCTAATCAAATCTAATCCGAAATAACCCATGCTCGAGATATCATGAGATATTTGCTTCTGCTCTCTTGTCAATTTCTTCCTCACGTCAATCTCTTCCTCCATTTAACGTTAAATTGACGTTTGCAAGATCTTCATGATTGCAAGAGTGGAAAAGATGATATTCAATATTGATGGGGATTAAAACGTAGTGGACGTTCTTAACGGACTTAAATTAGATGGACAGTTTAGGTTAGGTTAGGTGGGGTTGGCAGAGGGTTGTAATTCTTTGCCGTCAACATCGAGAACGATTCTCTCCATCGATCGCTATGTACTCGACGAAAACACCGACTCTGCGAATCGACGAAGCTGATTTGAAGTGCAAAAATGGTTGTGGATTCTATGGTAATGCGGAATGGGAGGGCTACTGCAGCAAATGTCACCGAGAACACTTGCAGAAACGACGGGCTCAAGCTGAACGTGTGTCCCACGCTCAGAGTTCGGATATGTAAGATTTTTTTCTGCCATGTGAATTCTCGTGTTGTTTTTCTGAGCTTTTAAAGCATATCTTATTTGTTGCTTTTATAGAGACAATGTCAATCGCTCAACGAATGCTGGAAGTCATAAAGGATACGAGGAGAAGAAAGTACAGCAGGAAAAGAAATATAAATTGTTGAATATTTCATTCAGGAAACCTGTTGCTAAAGGTAAGCTGTATTACATTTTATGTTGCTTCTTGTAAATAGTTGTCTATTAGAAGTATGTAATAATATATAGTATGTAATAATAATATACAGTATGCAATAATATTTATTTATTTTCAAGTTCAAGGATATCAGGAATTGTATCATGAACTATTGAAGGATAATCCAGATCTTGAGAAAGTTAAGGCGGAGAATCGAGATTTGCTGTTATATATAGCTAAGACACCAGTAGAGAAGGATGTAAGAAAATGTATACATTCATTTGTGGTAGACATACTTCAGAACAAAGATGTGAAGAGGATAGAAGAACTATCCGAAATAACGCAAAACTTTTATCATGTGTTTGGAAAGCGTCTGGAAAATAGCACCAAATATTCAGGTTTTGATCTATTATATATACATATTTACTTGTATTATCCTGAACAATTTATCTCGAACAATTTGAAGTTTATCTATTTTATGCTATATCTAGTTTATGCTATTACAGATATATCTCCAGATATTAAAGAGAAATTATTAGATTATGTCGAAAGATATGCAATGACTTTGTTGTACAGAATCCTTTTTTGTCCTCCATTCACAACAGATGAAGAAAAAGATTTGGCTATACAGAAAAGGTGTATATCATAATTTTGGAACAGCTTAAACTATTTATATAGCATATTATTAGTTATTTCTTCTTAACAGGATACGACAATTAAATTGGGTTAGTGGCAAAAATTTGGAATGTAGGATTCACGAGACAAGCTCGGAAGTTAGAGAACTTGTTTATACATCTATCACAGGTTTGTTATAGGGCTGTTCTTTTTAATTGAACTTTTTGCACAGTTCATCTTTTCTTTTTTTCTTTCCAATATGGAGAAAAAAGAAAGATGAATTGTACAAGAACTTTAGGCAAAAAGAACAGACCTTATATTACTAAATGAAATAACACAACAGTCAACAATTTTGCAATTCAACATTGCAGCACAATATGGAACACTAATTTCTTTCAGATCTTTTAAATATGGATTCCGCTAAAGCACCCCAAGAGAAATTGGCGTGTGTAATTCACTGTTGTAGAAATATATTTTTGTTGTTGCAACAGTCTGTTGATGGACCTGCATCTGCTGATGAATTCCTTCCGGCGCTTATATTTATCGTTTTAAAGGCTAATCCTGCACGCCTAAAAAGCAATATAAATTTTATCACGAGATTTTGCAATGCCAGCAGATTAATGACTGGAGAAGGAGGCTATTACTTCACAAATCTGGTACAGTTTTATATATATTAGAAATTTCGCAAATTTCTTTTACGCTATCTCCGAAGGCAAGAGATTATTATTATTGTTTTTAATAATAACTATTTGTAACATTAGTGTTGCGCAGTGTCATTTATCGAAAACTTAACTGCGGAATCCTTGAATATGGCTGAGAAGGACTTTAATGCATACATGTCAGGGGAATGTGTTCCAGCTAACACATGGGAATCAGCTCTTATGATATGCGAAGTAATATTTGTGATATATATTTGTGTTGAGAATTGATTACTCATAGATGTAATTTATTATATAATGTTAAATTTATGTTTAATTTATGTAATATTTAATTATTGCAGAGTTTACACTTCATGTGCGAAGATATAACTTTATTAGATGACTTGCAAGCTAAAAATACTGACATTATAAAACAAGCAGAAGAACTGAAAAATAAAATGATAGATTTCAAAGAGAAGATCAGAGAGGATGTGGATAAAGTAATTGAGAGAACACCGCTACTAATATCGCATAGTCAAAGGGTACCTACTAATTTAGATAGTGAGGATATTGAGAGCTATCAGCTCCCGCCGCCGATTATTCCACAGGTAAGAATGAGATACAATAGGTGAAAATTAGATGTAATTTTTCTCTTTGAATTACATCCCACGAAGCATTTTAAATTCCCTAACAGATATATCCACATTCTATTGATAACATGAATGGCGGAGTAATGATGGATTTGTCGAGTGATTTAATGAGAACATCACTAATAGAAGATTCCGTAACGCCGTCTCCAACATTTGACTTTCCATCCTTCATTGGCGATGATAGTCTGGAAGTTAGCAAAGGCGAGGACGAGACTAGTCTTATCAGCTTAGATACTCAGTCCGATCTTGCATCTGGCGATACCCAACTCTTTAAGAAACATATGACAGACAGCTTATTAGATGAGTGCCCTACACCCGAAGCAAATTTACCACCCGTTTTGAAACCAATTAGCTCGGAAGATTATCACGGCTTTACGATTCAAGGATCAAATATTCCGACAATCCCATGCAGCACAGGTGATTCATCTTTAACTCCGGCTGAATTGAATTCCGGTTATTATCAGAACATGTAGTATAAGTTAGAGAAATGTGATCCAAGTATTATTTATGCGGAAAGCATTTAATAAACTTCGATTGCGGTAGCGATTCGATTAAGAAAAATTTTCGATGGTAATCTTTTATCGCAATTTTATTATTTTGTATTTATATAGAGTTTATTATAGATGTATAAAACAGAAAGAATAATGTAGTGATGTATGGGAGCCTCTTCTGACACTGAACTGAAAGATTACGTTTTACAATTAAGTTGCTGTGATAAAATCATTCACAATACTAACGTATCTGAATTTGATTTAATATTCTTGTGATAAAAAACAGTAAAAACAGCGAATAGATTGCATAAAAAATTACAATTATTAAATATGTTTTAATCTGTTGTCTATTAAGTATATTTCCTTATTGTAAACATATTTCCACGTGAGAACTTGTGTCTTGAATTTTAGCTATATCACTCTCTTGGCATACTGGATTATTTCGTAAATCTAGTCTTCTTAAATTTTTGTGTCGTTTTATTAAGTTGACTATCTCCTTCATACTCACTAACTTATTATTTCTCAAAGAGAGAACTTCGAGATTATATAGAGTAGGAAAACGTTTCAATGATGTTAAGCCATTGCTGGACAGTGACAGTTTCGCGCATCGTTGTAATGTGGAAAGCTGATATAAAGAATTCTCTAACTGGTTTGCACCCAGATTCACTTCTTTAAAGAAACTAAAGTAGTGATTATTGTGCAATTTCGTCAAATCTAATCCTGATAAATCAATCTTTGACTGTATTTCTAAATCGTTTTCTTCTTTCCACATTTCAAGTAGTTTATACTCCACTAAAAGTTTGCTTCCTAAAAGAACAGATAATATGGATAGATGCATGTGTATAATAAGCAAATAAAAATCAAACAGTTAATAGTATTACTAAAACAAAAAAATTATGAATATTTCATTATAAAAAACATTACTTACGCAAATCTTTGTAATAATTCTTACGAAGACTATCGATTTTTGATAGTGCCGATAGATTATTTAATATGTCATTATAAAATTTGTTGAAATCGATCTTTTTCATCAGTAATGTACTAGTAAGTAAGGCCCACTTGTTATTTGGTTCCATTTCGGAAAGTTGGTTATAGCTCTTTAATTGTTTATTTAATTGTTTATCGTTGCTATTTTGTTTGTGCAAGCTTGAATTATCTTTGTAAATCCATGCACCTTCTAACTCTGAATACAAAAGTTGATATATCGTGTCTTGCAATTTTATAGTAACTTCTTTGGCACTATTCAAATCTTCTAAAGATCTTGCGAACTCTGCGATTCGTAGCTTGGCAAATTTTTCATCTGGATGTAATTGCCATTGTGCATCAATAGTTTCGCCATTTACAATTAATGAAAGTAAAATTGATTTAATCAATATATTATTGTCAATAACAACAATAGCGGTATCTTTTGTAATTTGAGCACGCCATAGTCTACAAGTTGTCATGCACTTATCTAGAAGCCATCTCTGATAGAACCATGCACTAGTGTCATTGGGATCGGTAAATGTTGCATTCATGACTAGATCAAGCTCTGGAAAATATTATATCGTTATTTATCAGGATATAAAATACACAGCACAAATTTCAAACAACTTACCCTCTCTGTACTTATCGTCTACAATTGGTATTTCTTCAGACGTAGTGCCAAACATTTTAGTTAATATTCGAC